GAAGAGATAATAAGATGGATTTACGGTTCCATTGTAGTATATTAATAGTATAATATATAAGGGTAAAATAGAACATTAGTAACCTAAACAGGACAGGGCAATCTTCCCCGTTCCCGCCCCGAACCTGGGCTTGTTTTTCCCCCTCAACCCGAACCCCACTCAAATCCCATAAACGGTCCCCCAAAACCAGTTTAAACGGGGCAGGGCAGGGTGGGTACTGTACCCGTCGGGGCAGGGTAAATTTCCATCCATACTCCCAACAGCTATATGCAAGAAATTCAAAGTCAATGGAGGTTGAAAGCATACACATATTGAAAGAAGTTTAATAGTATTCAAAGTTTATAAAAGTATACCTCTTTTTCAAGCGCTGCACGACACGCCTTACCTGCACGACGTGCCTTACCTGCTTCCATCGCTTTACTACTGAAATCTGGCTTACGAAAGAGTAGAAAGAACTCCACTTGTTTCACACACCACTCCTAATGTCATTGAAGAAGGACAAACATTAGATGGATTTGATCAAGTTCCTTGCTCTAAAATAATAAAGACAAGTATGCACGGCAATATAATGCCAAAAATTTCAAATAATACCAAGCGCAGATAAAATTAAGGAAAATTTACGGAGACATGAACTTCAGGGCTCCATTTTACGGTCACATCAAGTAAAAGTCTTGAATTTTCAAAAAGATAATTCTTTAAAAATGCTAATGTGCATTAAAAGACACAATGCATTTTTCTCAAGTGCCCAATCTGTCCTTTTCACTTTTTTGTTCGATCACAGGTCCTGCAATAAAAGTGGTACCTGTGTGCACAAAAAGTGATACTTGAGTGCACAAAATATGGTACGCATGTGCACAAAACCGGTACTTATACAGAAACAAATTTTAAACCTCTTTTCTAAATTAAACATGGTACCAAACATTTGTAAGACCTTAGGGTGTCGTTCTTGTTCAAAACTTAGCTCACAAATTCACCACAATCCTACAGAAAAAGTGGTATCTGGGTGCAGAAGAATTGGTACCTAAGTGCACAAAAGTGGTACGTAGGTGCACAAAAGTGGTACGTGGGTAATATCGCAACATCATAAAAAGGGCATCTTGAGCACTTGAAAAAAAATGCACAACGTTTTTTCACGTCCACATCAACATTTTTAAAGAATTCATATTTTTGAAAATCGAAGACTTCGACTTCATGTGACCATTAAATAGACTCCCTAAGTTCATGTATCCGTAAGTTTTCCTAATATTAAAGAAAATCAGGTAACATTGTTCAGCCTTGCCAGTGAAGACCAAGAATTGCATCAATGAGAAAAGATGCGGTCCACATTGAGAGTAGTGAGATAGTAAAGAAAGATATGAGAGTAGTGAGATAGTAAAGAAAGATATGGTAGCAAATGGTTCACTTGATATTAGAACCCTAGACAAAGCAAAATTGTGAGATACGATTCATGTATTCAACATCAACATAATTGGGAAAAAAGCTTTGTTGAGTTAAGTTGAATTAAGAAGAATACCAATAATTTAACATTAAAAAATACCAACGCAAGACACTAAGACCTAAGACAAAAGTATCATGAGATATCAACATATTTAAGGAATTTAAGGATGTGTTGCAAGCCTTTCAAATGAAGGAAGAAAAATATTAATAGTGTGTTTGGATAAGAATGAAAAGGGAAGGATGACATTATTTATGAGAGAAAAAAAAAATAGAAAGGAAACAATAGTGTTAACCTTGCTTTTGTTTGGATATATAGAGAAATAGGGGTGGGAAAAAGAAAGAAAGAAAAGCAAAGGTAGTGGTGACCTAATAACATTATTCACAACCTGGGTGGACGTGTCAGCTCCCAACTCAGGGACTGGTGAATTGAAAGCGACGTTGGAGACAATTTCCATTTCAACTATTAAGATTTGAGAATTCTTGATGGACATCCTCGGATATTGACAGTTTTCATGTCAACAAATGGAAGATAGCCATGTGTAGCATTCATGTATTGTAGAGCATATAACATACATCAATATATATAAAAATAAAAGCGAGAACTGGGAAGGTGACCTAAACAGAAGGTTAAATTTGTTACACTTGTTGCTCTTTTTTGTTTCCCGTCATTGTTTTATTTCAAGTTTCAAGACCCATTCAACCAGACTCTTTAAGAAAATACTACACCCAAAAGTATAATGAATACATTTATATATTTGTAAGAAATGTAAAAATCCTTGTTGGTTTTATAGTGTCTACAGAAGATGATTATTTTTTTGGATTTTCTTATATTCATGTACAAAATTTGAAATAATATCACCTAAAGAAATCATTTGTTATTCATTTATAACTCAATTCAACAAAGCTTTATCCTAACTACTTGGGGGTAAGCCACATGAATCCTAGTTTTCGATTATCCACTAATTGAAACCATTGATTCTGAGATACTCTCTTGTGAGTGTCAGTAGGCCTACGACCATAAATGGAAATTTGCCTCCATTATCCACTAATTGAAACCATTGATTCTGAGATACTCTCTTGTGAGTGTCAGTAGGCCTACGACCATAAATGGAATTTTTTTTAAAAAAAAAATTCCAACTTGTTAAAGCTTTGTTATACCAAATTCTGAAACAAAACAAATGGGCTAGCAGCTAGAGAATAGATAAAAGCTTCACTTTGATAGCAGTCACAGGATTGGCCAACAACAGTGATTTAAATTGATTACATGAATCGATTGCCCTTATGGCTTGACTACTCTAACTGCCAAAACCAGTGATATAATGTATCTACACTAAACAACATAAATGTAGAAAAACAATAGAAACTTATACAAGGACATGTAAGAGTAATATCAAAATGATGTAGGACAGTTTTATTGACTTTTTCTCAGTTCAGGTCGGTCACAACATTTCAACCAGAGGAGACCCATTCTCGATCAGAAGCGACCCAATAAACAAAACCCACTAGCTATTAGCTTTAGGTAGTGGCCCATGTCGTTTCGGCCAAAAATCTTCGTTTGGGACTCCAAAATCACGTTTTTTAGTTAAAAAATAATGATTTATACAAAATTTTCAAATCAATCAATCAAAGAGAAGCTCTGTAGTATATTTCTGCTTTTTGTTGACAGCTTTCAGCCCCTGCCAAGGAAGACTAGTGCAAAGATTTGTATGCAACAAATTAGGACACACAAAACAATAAGAATAATGATTGTTGAATATTTTGGGATTTTTGTTGGAGGTCAAAACGAAGTGTAGTTTTTAGTGATTAAGTTTCTTATTCTATTTTTTCGTTATTTTTGGAGAAAGTTAGATTTTTAGGCTTATTTTTAGTGTTAGTTTATTTTGATATTCAGTTTCATTATGTTATAAGGTTTCCTGATGCTTCCTTATGGTTTAGAGTTTTTTTCATTATAAATACATGCACAGAGCAGAATCACACATTCAATAATAAATAAAATATTAGATTTCTCTGCAAATTTTCTCTTAACTTTGTGGATTCAAAGTTGGTCCTTGTTCAGTTGTAGACGTTTTATAGTTTCCGCTTCGTCACGAAACCAAAATGTAAATGTATCACCTATTCCACTCAATATTCCATCAAAACAAAAAGCATGTTTGGGTAAACCCTAAATCTACATAAATAAACCCTAAATATACATAAATAATCTACAATTGAAATTCTAGCAACAACTATTGCAGCTCATTTCCATTGCAAAAACACAAATTTGTAAACCAATCTACATAAATAATCTACAACTTGTTCAAATTCAAACAGAATTTATACTTGAAAATTTAACCACCAAATTAATAAAACTACAAATTCTAGCAAAAACCAAAGAATCCCATTCCTTAAAACCCAAAACAGAACGAAACACAACATGAAGAAAATCATACCGTAGCAGTAATATCAGTGACATATAACCCTTTCCTTCTTTTCCTTCGAAGCCGACGGAAAAGCGATTTAGACACTTTATTCGTCTTCTTCTGGGTACTCTCTTTACAATTATCCAAGTCCTCTATGTCACCCACCGAACTGGCCTCCGCACAATTCGACAAGCTCCTTTTGGGGAATAGAGTAATGGACCGAATCGACCTCGCATTTCGCAGAAACTGAGTCGAAGAGAGAGGATAAAGAAGACGAGAGTGACGAGGATAAGGCCGCTTCAATGAGGGCCATCTCTTCCTCGCTCACGACCTCTATTGGGATCATGTAAGGGTAGGTTGTTTGGTCGTTGTTTGTGTTGAGAGAGAGCTGACTGAGTCGGTGACTAGGTCATTTGAGCGATTCAACGACTGAGTTTTTAACTCGCCGTTGTGAATTGTGATCGCCATGGATACCGGAACTCATGAGCTGGGCAAAACTATTTGGCAAATTATTAGGGTTTTAGAAATTCAGATTTGAGGACCGTTGATGGATTTATAGTGTATATAACAATCAGACCAGATACATTTGTGTCAAGGCTTTACAAGAGGGCTTGTGGCAGAAAAAAATGGTATGGTGGGTAACCAGTCTAATATTTCCTAATGTTTTAGTGATATTCTCACAATGTGTGTATGTAATTAAAAAAAAAAATTAATTAATTAATTTAATTTCTTAGTGTGACATGCTTTATAAGATCTTTGCAAATACATTAGCAAAGCTCCAATAATTGCTATATCATTTGATTTCAGAGTTTCAAAATGTTTTATTTATTTATTTTGGTGTCAAAGCTAAAATAAAAAGTTCCTTTATCTTTTTTATTTTTATTTTTATGAAAACTCGAATTTTGACTTTTTACTTAAGGGTACCAACAAAATTATTTAAGAAAAAATTAACAAGTATACCCAAATTATTATTTTTTTTCCTGAAATTAATACCCAAATTATATTACAAAATAATGATATGAAGATGATTATGACATAAGGAAGGCATGTTTTTGCATTTAATAAAAAAAGTTCTCATATTCCAAATTATATTATATTGTAAATATAGTTCCCTTATCATATCACACAGAATGGAGTATTGAAAGTTCTCTTTGGAGTAATACCTCCAACCACACACACACACACACACAAGGTCACAATTCTTTTTCTGTAACAAAACTGCAAAGACCTCTCTCAAAATTACGGAATACTTCTAACAAAATCACAACGGTGCTTAGAGCTTGCAAAGGCGCAAAAACAGCAAGACTGACACTTGTCACCTCACAGCCTCTCCCTCTTTCTCTATATAAACTCCTCACTCCCTCAACACTTTTCCCAAGTCACAATTAAGTGGTAGTTTCTGAACCAAAAAAAGAGTTCAATTAGAAGAGATGGGAAAGAGAAGTGCTTTGTTGCTAGTAGTGTTAGTGATGTGCCATGCAGTGGCCACAGTTGGTGGCTACTTTGAGGATCCTGAAGGCAGGAGAGAGAGAGAAGAGGGGAGGAGAGAGAGAGAAGAGGGGAAGAGAGAGAGAGAAGGGCTGTTCTTGTTGAGGGACTCAAAGCATGTGGTGAGGACTGATGCTGGGGACATGAGGTTGGTGAGGGGCTATGGAGGGAGGATTATGGAAAGGCCTATGCATATTGGGTTCATCAACATGGAACCCAATAGCCTCTTTATCCCTCAGTACATTGATTGCAGTTTAATCCTCTTCATTCGCAGAGGTATATCATATTATATATATACAAACACACACACACACACATATATTCATCATCATTTGCTCTCTGTGTGTTTGTTCATATGTTTGTGTTGCATATTAGAACTTGGGTTCATGGAATTTGTATGAAATTGATGCCAAATGTGTTTAAAGAAAATGGGTGATCTCTTATTCATGTGTTTGCAAATTAGCACTTGGGTTTGTGGAATTTATATGAAATTGACGCCAAATGCGTTGAAGAAAATGGGTGATAAAAGAGATTTACATAGGAACTTTTTCCTCATGTTTAGGAATCTCGTTCACAAACATGGAGACATATAATTAGTAATACATATACTAAAAAGTGGATAATTAAGAATCAAAATATGGACCAAAGGGGCAAATATTAGCTCAGATGGTATGATTTTTCCTGATGTTGAGTGTCCGGGCCTTGTTAGGGGCAATATCGTAGGTATGTGTGTTTACTTGAACTTTGAAGAAGAAAAAAATCGAAATATTGGGTATATTTAACTTATAATGGAGCATACATATATATGATTTGATACAGGGGAAGCGAGGGTTGGATCGATATACAAAGATGATCTGGTGGAGAAGCGATTGACGGCCGGAGATTTGTATAGAATTCCAGCAGGATCAGCGTTCTATTTGGTTAACCCACAGGATAGGCAGAAGCTTCATGTCATTTGCAGCGTTGATACATCTGAGAGCTTGAATTTGGGCAATGTACAGGTATAATATTGCACATCTCATCATATATATACTACCTTCGTTGTGTGTGTGTGTGTGTGTGTGTGTAAATAGGACAATTGGTGAAAAATGTTTGAACTTCATAAATTTACTGAAAATTTGTTGTTTTCAATATTTGCAGTCTTTCTTCATTGGTGGAGGATCATCTCCCACATCTATTCTTGCTGGTTTCGACCCTCAAACGCTTGCAGCTGCACTTAATGTGAGTCATATAACTTCATTTGAGCTATCACCATACACAAAAATGAAAACACACTCACATACATACATGTACTAAATATGGTATGTATCAAGATCTTCTCCTGGATTTCTTGATACCCAATTGGATGATTCAAGTCACTCCACATAATTGATTGAATTTTATCTTAATTTTTCCAAAACAAGGTAAGACTCCATTTTGTTGAAAATTCATCACTTCGACTCCATGTGACTGTAAAATGGAGCCAATAACTCCGTCTATGTATTGACTTCATTGTTGAGCAGAGACTTACCAATGTCTATTCACAGATCTCAGCAGCAGAAGTGAGGGAGCTAACCACCAGGCAACAATCCGGACCGATCATCCGCTTGTCAAATTCGCACCCACCAAGCCTATGGACACAATTCCTTCACCTAGAGGAGCATGAAAGACTGGCACACCTAAAGAGGATGGTGTACTTGGAAGAAGAAGCTAATGAAGATGAGGTTCCAACATGGTCATTCAGGAAACTCTTGACTTCTGTTTTCGGAGAGAAAAATAAGGACGAAGACATCAAGAGATCTAGGACGTCCCCGGACTCCTGCAACCTCTACAACAGACAGCCCGACTACAAGAACCGCTATGGCTGGTGCACCTCCCTCGACGAGTCTGATTACTCCCCTCTTAGCAACTCCGGCAACGGCATTTATTTAGTTAATCTCACCGCGGTAATCAATTCCTTCCATTCGAGCTATTTCTATTAGAACCAAGAGTAGTGCATCATAAAATATTTGCATTGACACATCAAGAAATTCTTATGTTAAGGTCCCATTAAATTTTATTTCATTTCATCAAGTGGGATATTTTTAAATTGGAAGGGAACTTTTTAATATCAAATTTGTTTGGTTCAATTTTATCTTTCAATTCAACTTCATTGATTTAGTAGTCGTATTTTATCATCTAGTAGGCATTATTTCAATCAAGTGATCCAAATGGTAAGTTGATCTTTGAGCTTAACCATTACCTTATTTGTTGTTTAACTCAGGGCTCAATGATGGCACCACATGTTAATCCAACAGCAACTGAGTATGGCGTTGTGTTGAGAGGAAGTGGAACAATTCAGATAGTGTTTCCTAATGGAACCTCAGCAATGAACGCAAGAGTAAAAGAAGGCGACGTGTTTTGGGTGCCGAGGTACTTCCCATTCTGTCAGATTGCATCTCGAAATGGTCCCTTTGAGTTCTTCGGTTTCACTACCTCAGAGCCATCACAGCGCGGATCAGAGCGCAGGAACCGGCCACAGTTCCTGGTGGGAAAGAATTCAGTTCTGAATAACCTGAGAAACCATGAGTCTGCTGCAGCTTTCGGTGTGAGCAGGAAGAGGCTCCGGCATATCCTTAATGCTCAGCGTGAGGCTGTGATTCTGCCTGCGTCAAACGTGGCACCACCTGAGACAATGCAGGAAGAGGAGGACAAGATGAAGAACAATGTGATACCAGAGGTGATCAGGAACTTTGGCAATGACATGGTTATGGGCTTTGATTAAAGGCTAGCTAGATGAGGAGTAGAGATGAAAGCGGCTTTGGAAGCATTTTTATGAGTTTTTGGTTTTGTTTGTTTTTTTCTTTCCTTTTGTTTTGCTGAGTTTTGAGAGATGTCAATAAGATGGTATTTGTTTCTAGTTTTCTACTCCATAATGCAATTCTGTTTAATTTTGTGAAGAGAGTTTCTTTTGTGGTTGATTCTATTGCACTTGTGCTTGATTATGTGAAGTGGTCTTATCAAGAGGTTCCTCTATTCACAGTATTCATCTTGCCATGAATTCTCGACCTAGCAAAAGTTGAGCTTGAGCTTGCTCCTCGCCATTTTGAAAAGCTCGGGCTCAACTTAGCTTTATTCGTTTAATAAAACAAATCGAATTAAATTTCATTTGAGGCTCGATATGAACTCTTGTTCATAAATTTACCAGTGAAATTTCCAATTAGTTTCAAGCTTACCTACCTATCAATCTCATCAATATCTTTCGTGAAACTAACACAAAATAATAATCTCACAAGATAAGTCTTGAAAAATCACATGGAATATAAATGAGCTTACACAAACTTATGAGCCCTTCTTTGTTTGTCACAACCTGCCCCTCTATTTATGAGCTTACATGATCTTATCCACCCATACTAGTTGTTGGAAATGAAGATTATATAACGGGCATACTTTGGACTAAAATTCAAGTGCATCCGGTTCAGCATTTTACATGGGTTTATAATCGATCATGTTTCTCTTCAAAAGTAGATGGTCTTGGTATATTTATTTTCTCAAATCCTGTGTCAAGTGAATGAAAAATTAACTATAAAGTAAAGTATTTAATAAATTTAAAAAAACAAAAAAAAATGGGTGTAATTAAATAGTCCAAAGTCAAAATCTCAAGAGAATGTGTTTATATCTGTATGGGAAGGTGTGTAAATAAAAGGTCACAACTATAGCATGGGCTGATGGGCCAAGTCTATAGAATTAAAATCATCTTTTGCGACACAATGTATACGTCTCATACAAAACACATGTACGAGTGAGAGCAAAAATACATGCGGAACGTGAGAGTGTAAATTTAAAAGAATTGTAGACTTAAGCTCTATGAAAGAGTATAATTGCGGAGAAGGTTGGAAGGAGATGAAGATTGTTCAATCTAAAAGCAGGACAAAATTTATCTTAACGATAAAGTATTTAATACTAACCTTGGTCCTCAAGTAGTTTCTTTTTACATTGCTTTATTTTATTATAAAATATTATATCATATAAAATGTTTAGTATATAATTTAAATACTAGCTTTGTAGTCATAATATGTTTGTATATTATTAAAGGGCAAAGTAAGAATAACACCCTTAAGGTTTAAATTTTGGACAAATATCACTCTTTAAGGTTTTTTTTTTTTTTTTTTTTTTGGTATATAAGTACATTTAAGTTTGAAAATTTGATCAAAGAAGGACTTGAGGTCCCTGTTTAGTTACAAATTTAGTAGACATTTTTAAGATATAAAATTCCAAAAATACCCCTTTTTTCTTCTAATAATGCCCTTATATATAAAATAAATAAATAAATAAAAAGGGGGGACACTTTAGTCATTTCACATTTAATTATTTTTTATTATTTTCTATTCAGTTATAAAGGGACACTTTAGCCTTTTCAACATTCAGGCCTTTATTTGTTCAAAAATTAGATGTTAAGGATTTTTCAGAACGTATACACACTATATGCATACCATATGAGTAATTTTTGCTTGCCAATTATTATTAAATGATAACATCATAGTGAATTAATTTACATTAAATTTAGCATGCTTCAAAATGTAAATTAATAACATATATGAGATGAATTTTTCCATCGTAAGTGCCAACAACCTCTGCTATCAAGCAATACAATCACCGCACCACTTCACCCTCATGCGCTTTTTAACTTCTTGGTGCAATTCTTCATCTTGGTGTTCATAATAATGTGTTTTTTTCTTGCATTCTTGTAAGGACATCAGAAGCATTTTAGTAATAATATGTAAACAAGATGACATTCAACTGCAAAAAGAAAGTCTCATTTTATCAGGTAACCACGGGAATTGAGATAAATCAGGGCAGGGATGTCACACTTTTTATATTATTTAAATTATTAATTATTTAATTTATTTTCTCACATGCCGTGTTGGTAGAGTGATTGAATTGTTCTCTATATTTCAGAATTTGTGTTCAAGTCTTACATCTAACATTCTTGCCATGAAGGAAAAAAAAAAAAAAAAAAAAAAAAAAATCAAAACAATGATAATTATAAGTTTATCCATAAAAGAGACTCCCCTCTCATATTTTAGCCTCAGCCAGATGCCCGACCAGAAATGGCCCAAATGGGGTGTATAAGAAATGGACTATCACAGTTACCATCTCTCGTATCTCTTTTTAGTTTTTGCTATTGATCTTTGTAATTAGAGAAGTGATAGATCTTCCAACTTCAATTGTCGACTACTCCTCCAAATATAACGTGGTTAGAAATGAGTCGATGAGAAAAATATGACTCCCCTCTCATATTTTAGCCTCAGCCAGATGCCCGACCAGAAATGGCCCAAATGGGGTGTATAAGAAATGGACTATCATAGTTACCATCTCTCGTATCTCTTTTTAGTTTTTGCTATTGATCTTTGTAATTAGAGAAGTGATAGATCTTCCGACTTCAATTGTCGACTACTCCTCCAAATATAACGTGGTTAGAAATAAGTCGACGAGAAAAAGATGTTTACTGAATTTTTTTTAAGAGTTTCAATGGGATCTAACTAAGTTGTATTCGAAAGATGAGTCGACAATTAACGTCGGAAGATTTATCATTTTTCTTGTAATTAATAATAAAAGATCTTATAAATGAGAAAAATAATTGAACAAAGTAATTGATCTTGTTAGCACCAAAAGTATTGAAAAACTATCAAAACTCCCTGAGTCATTCAACTTTTTCAATGCTAACAGTGATTTTTTAATATTTTTCTTTCTTCTTCAAGTTTAATTTTTTATTTTTTTTCTATAATTTTTAAAAATTAACTTACAATGTCTTTGAATTTTAAAATTTACTTTGTTGATGATAAAATAGAGCTACTCATGTCTTGAGTAAGAGAAATTTGAACATACAATAGCATCATTTTATTATTATTTTGTCTTGCTTCTCTTTCGTAATAATATTGTTGGGTAAAGTCGTGAAGTCTGAAAATTTATGTACTCCCCTATTGTGTTGCATCTTAAACCCTTTTAAACCTTGTAACAATTTATTTTATTTTTGATACATGTGCTTGTGCTTTATAAATTATCTCTTTTACCAGAACAAAAATAGAAAAAATAAAAATAAAAATTACTAGAGGAAGCATGGAAGATGAAAAATATAAAATTTTGTAATAAAAATAATAGTTATGTTATTATAAATTTAGGAACATTTTTTTTATAAGAAAAATAAAAGTTGTGTAATAAAAAAACAAAATAGAGTGGGAGTGAAAATACTAGTGGAGTATGAGAGTTTCTGAAAAGATTTCCTTTTACTAAGTACTCCGTAGTCCGTAGTTTGTTTCCTCGAAATCACAACGGTTCATAGACTTTGCATTGCAAAGGCGCAAAAACAGCAAGACTGACACTTGTCATCTCACAGCCTCTCCCTCTTTCTCTATATAAACTCCTCTCTCCCTCACCACTTCTCAACAAGTCACAATTAAGTGGTGGTTTCAGAACCCAAAAAAACAGAGTGTCAATTAGAGAGTGCATTACAAGAGATGGGAAAGAGAAGTGGTTTGTTGCTAGTAGTGTTAGTGATGTGCTATGCAGTGGCCACAGTTGGTGGCTACTTTGAGGATCCTGAAGGGAGGGGAGAGAGAGAGAGAGAAGAGGGGAAGAGAGAGAGAGAAGGGCTGTTCTTGTTGAGGGACTCAAAGCATGTGGTGAGGACTGATGCTGGGGACATGAGGTTGGTGAGGGGTTATGGAGGGAGGATTGTGGAAAGGCCTATGCATATTGGGTTCATCAACATGGAACCCAAAAGTCTCTTCATCCCTCAGTACCTTGATTGCAGTTTAATTCTCTTCATTCGCAGAGGTATATCATATATATATATATATATATATATATATATATATATTCATCATCATTTGCTCTCTTTGTGTTTGTTTATGTGTGTGTGACAGCGTGTTGCAAATTAGAACTTGGGTTCTTGGAATTTATTGAAATTGATGCAAAATATGTTTCAAGTAAATGGGTGATAAAAGAGATTTACATTGTAACTTTTTTGTTATGTCATATAATTAGTGTTACATATAGTAAAAAGTGGATGATTAAGAATCAAAATATTGACCAAATGGCCAATATTAGCCCAGATGACATGATCTCTCCTTGGAGCCCTTTTGGGACAATATTGTGAGTGTTTGCTTGAACTTCCAAAGAAATTTTTTTCAAAATATTGGGTTTGTGAGCATATGTATATATGTATGTATATATATATGATTTGATACAGGGGAAGCAAGGGTTGGATCGATATACAAAGATGATCTGGCGGAGAAGCAATTGAGGGCAGGAGATTTGTATAGAATTCCAGCAGGATCCGCATTCTATTTGGTTAACCAACATGATAGGCAGAGGCTTCAAGTCATATGCAGCATTGATACATCTGAGAGCTTGAATTTGGGAAATGTACAGGTCTGATATTGCACATCTGATCATATATATATATATATATATATATATATATATATATACCACCTTCTTTGTAAGATTTACTGAAAATTTTGTTGTTTTCAATCTTTGCAGTCTTTCTTCATTGGTGGTGGATCATCTCCCACATCTATTCTTGCTGGTTTCGACCCCCAAACGCTGGCAGCTGCATTTAATGTGAGTCGTATAACTTTATTGGAGCTAGCCACCACACACACACACACACACACACACACATATATATGAAAACACACACATACATACATGTACTAAATATTGTACGTATCAAAAAAAAATTCCTGCATTTCCTGATACCCAATTGGATGATTCAAAAAAATCCGCATTAACTGAGTCTTAATTTGTCCAAAAAAAAGGTGAGATTCCATTTTTGCTGAAAACTCACGACTTTAATTCCATTTGACTTGAAATAGAGCCAATAACCCCATTTTTTTGTAATTTTCCCATCTATATATACATATATATATATGCCACCTTTCTTTGTTCTTGTGGTGACTACATTATTGAGCAGAGACTCACCAATGTCTATTCATAGGTCTCAATAGCAGAAGTGAGGGAGCTAACCACCAGGCAACAATCCGGACCGATCATCCGCTTGTCAAATTCGCATCCACCAAGCCTATGGACACAATTCCTACACCTAGAAGAGCATGAAAGACTAGCACACCTAAAGAGAATGGTGTACTTGGAAGAAGAATCTAATGAAGATGAGGTCCCAACATGGTCATTCAGGAAACTCTTTACTTCTGTTTTCGGAGAGAAAATCAAGGACGAAGACATCAAGAGATCTAGGACGTCCCCGGACTCCTGCAACCTCTACAACAGACAGCCCGACTACAAGAACCGCTATGGCTGGTGCACCTCCCTCGACGAGTCTGATTACTCCCCTCTTAGCAACTCCGGCAACAGCATTTATTTAGTTAATCTCACTGCGGTAATCAACTCCTTCCATTCCAGCTATTCCTATTAGAATCAAGAGTAGTGCTAGACATCATAAAAAAATTCCATGACACATCAAGAAATTCTCAATATACACCTAAAAGTGACTCTTTACCATTAATGAATTTCAATCTTAAACTGTAAAATTTTATCTTTGAATTCAACTTCAATGCAAGTGGTCCTTGTGCTAAGGAAAAAAAAAACACAATGATTATCAATTTTCATTATTGCTATGGTTGATGTTTGAGCTTAACCATTACCTTGTTTGTTGTTCAACTCAGGGCTCAATGATGGCACCACATGTTAATCCAAGAGCAACAGAGTATGGCATTGTGTTGAGAGGAAGTGGAACAATTCAGATAGTGTTTCCAAATGGAACCTCAGCAATGAACGCAAGAGTAAAAGAAGGCGACGTGTTTTGGGTGCCGAGGTACTTCCCATTCTGTCAGATAGCATCTCGAGATGGCCCCTTTGAGTTCTTCGGATTCACTACCTCAGAGCCATCGCAGCGCGCATCAGAGCAAAGGAACCGGCCGCAGTTCCTGGTGGGAAGGAATTCGGTTCTGAATAACCTGAGAAACCACGAGTCCGCTGCTGCTTTCGGCGTGAGCAGGAAGAGGCTCAGGCACATCCTTAATGCTCAGCGCGAGGCTGTGATTCTGCCCGCGTCAAACGTGGCACCACCTGAGGAGACAAAGAAGGAAGAGGAGCACACGATGAAGAACAATGTGTTACCGGAGGTGATCAGGAACTTTGGCAATGACATGATTATGGGCTTTGATTGAAAAGGCTAGGTAGGTGATGGAGATTAAGATGAGGGGTAGATAAAAGCGGCTTTGGAAGTGTTTTTTTGTGTTCTTGGTTTTGTTTATTTTGTTCTTTGCTTTGCTGAGTTTTGAGAGATGTCAATAAGCTGGCATTTGTTTTTGGTTTTCTATTCCATAATGCAATTCTGCTTAAATTATGTGAACAGAGTTTCGTCTGTGCTTGATTCTATTGCATTTTTTTTTCTTTTTAGTTTGATTCTATTGCAATTCTGCTTAATTATGTGAAGTGGTCATATTAAGAGGTTGCTCTATTTTTTATTTTTCTTTTCTGCTAGGCAAAGATGAGAGATTGAGACAATTTATTCATGAATCTTAATAGTCTTCCTCAGTTTAGAGCTAGCTTAGAGGATTTCATGATAATTTGGTCCCCCTTAAATAAACAGAATCAAGTCTCTTGGCTCGGGATCATAACGAGCTCAAGAAGTTGAGTTCAAACTTTGGCTCGTCACAATTTTGAAAAGTTTGAACACGACTCTTCGTGTTTTGGCCCATTTGAGCTCTTTTTCATAAATTTATGAATGAAATCTCCAACTAATTTTAAGCATACCTTTCAATCTCCCTTTCCATGAAACTTTATACTGAACCTAGTGCTGGGTATGCAGCCCTAGACTGGTTAGTGTTGCGTACCCACTCATTTGTACTAATTATTTTTCATTCAAATTCAATGTGGGATACACTAACCTTCCACAACTCCATAATGCTTTCCTAAGCAAAGAAATTCGGAAACATTTTTTCATTATTCGCGCTCACATTTTCTACTTTTGCTCTCCAATTTTAAAAGAAATTACACTTTTAACTCTAATTTTGCAAGTACTCAATCAAATATGGAATAATCTTTTGCTCTCCAATTTTAAAAGAAATGACATTTTTTAACTCTAATTTCACAAGTAATCATTCAAATATGGAATGATTTTTTCGTTTCCCTCTCTCCAATGTTGAATAATACTCATTCAAAAATGAAATAATTTATTCAACATAACTAATTTTATTTATGTTAAATAAATTATTTCTTTTGATAATACCAAAAAAAACCAACTATCTCTATTGAATAAATTATTTCTTTTGACGACACCCAAAAGAAAAAATAAGAAACCAAAAAACAAAAGAATTATCACTATTGAATAAATTATCTCTTTAAACATAACCCCAAAAAAAAAAAAAAAAAAGTAAGAAGAAGAAGAAGACCCAAAAGATAAGATATCTAATCCCTATTGAATAAATTATCTCTTTTGACACGATCAAAAATAAAAATAAATAAATAAGTAAAGAGCGTTATAAAAAAAAAAAAAAAAAAAAAAGGAGTTTATGATTGTAGAGTGGTGCTACACGACCCGACTACTATTCACCCGACACTCACCCACTGTCATACGTGGCTTCCGACGTGTCATTTTTTTTTTTTTTTTTTTTTTGAACCGATGTCCCTTCTCTCTCCCTATTCTCTCTCTCTCTCTCTAACAATCGGCAACGAACCCATTTTTCCGGCGAAAAACCGTGACCATCATCTTCTCCGTTAAACATGCCGCTGCCACCTCCCCTACCACCATGAACACTACTTATCCACTGCCCAGTTCCATCACCCACCACCCACTTCCCAGCTCCACCTTAGTTCACAAACCCCACACCACCAAAGTCTACATCACTTAAATCTAACCAAACCACCACAAAACCCACTAACCCAACACCACTCACAGACCCAAAATCATAGCCACAGACCACCATCCAAACGACTCCTAACTGCTGCCACTCATCACTGCCTATACAAATTACAACCAAGTTCACCATATTTATTGAACAACCCCACAATCAATTTTTCCAAGCTAAAAGCACAAAAGACAAACCCCAATTTCAGTTCTAAAACACCAACCTAAACCATCAATTTAATGTTTCACCGCAAATAATTCAAGCAAATAAAGAATGTTTTTCTCAAGTCAGAAATTCATGGGATGAAAGCTGATGAGCTGAATGGGAATCTTGGCTAGCTAGACTTACCAACAAATCTAAAAAAGTGCAAGAAGATAAAGCTTATTGTACTGTTGATGATAAAGTTAGGTGGTGTTGTCCCATAATTTTTTCTCACTGTTAATCCGGATTTACTCATGCAATTACTTAACCATGTGCATTGGGCAAGCCAACTGGGCTTGTTTTGATCGCCGGTCGCAAATCATCCACACTGGCGCAGCGAGGAGGGACTCTCGGCGTTGATGATGTCCACTGCGATGATAAGGACGGTGTCCTTGCAGCGTGGCACCAGCGACCAAACCTTCACAGCCGCCGACCCCTGTTGCCTGCTCCTGATAAGGACGGTTGTGGCCTACTCCTCGCCGACGCATTGTTCTTTGGCCAGATAAGAACAGCGGCGACGAAAGCTTCACAGCCACCAACCACCGGCCATCAACGAACTGGGGTGGAGCTGGACGGTGGGAGATGAGAGGATTGAAAGAGATAGATGAGAGAGTAAAGCTGAGACGAAGAAAGGGGAACCACCTGTGCACCAGTTGGACCAATCCAGTATTGACATGTAAGGTTGGTTTTTGTCGAGTGAATAGTAGTCGTGTTTTTTTAGCATTTCTCATGATTGTAATAGTATTATAAAATGAAGGAATAACGAGTTTATTGGTCTTTTTGTCATTTTAGAAGAAAATGAAGTATAGTGCAATAGTAGAAAATGGAAATGCAAATATCACTACCAAAAAAGACTTTGGTGGTGTTCGATAAAATTAAAAATCAAGCATGATAATCGCTGAAAAGTGCGCAATTAAACCCCTTAAGCTTAGGTATTTTAGGACATTTATCTATCTTATTTTCCGTCTTAGACTAATTTCATATTATTGCCCTTTTTAGGTACTTATCCCAAAAATAAGTTAATTTAGCCAAATAAGAGTTTAAAAGAAGCAATCCCAAGCTGAATGGAAGAAAGGAGCAAAGTGGAAGCAAAATAAAGCAAAGTGTGGAAATCAGCATGTTCGATCGATCTCAACATTCCTTCGATCAATCAGAGCAACATCGATCTGGACACTTCAAGATGGATCAAAACCTTTGTCCTTATCCAAAAGATTCCACCATATTCGATCAATCCAACTTATCTTTGATCGATTGAAAATATTCGATCTTATCTACACCTACCACCCCACCTACCACTCTTATCTCTTTCCCAAAATATTCCAAAATATCTCAGAGATTTGTCTTTATTCAAAAAGGCACCGCTAAAGATGATCGATCTCTGCAGCATTCGATGGATCTCACCAATGTTCGATCGATCTCAACATAGTTCGATCGATCGAACCCTCTCAAGTGCGAATTAAATCAAATTCCAGCTCATTAAAAGTTGTCTCATGGTACAATCATTGGAGGAGCCCTCGTGCACGAGTCCAGACCATTGGGTGTGACACTTGAGCTACCTATATAAAGTTTGAGTTACTTTTTACACATATACTTAGAAACATTCTTAGAGAGAAAGAAAGGAGAGGAGGAGAGGCTACAGACACATTCACCACTTCAATGAGTGGCTAAATATCTTTTTAGGGCTAGAGTTAGCCCTAAGCATGCCTTCTAGACTCTAATGCTTTGTATTTTGAGGGGATTTGTGTTGTAATCTTGTCTTGACACTTATTTTATATATGAATCTTGTTTATTCAATGATTTGTGTGGTTTAATACTTCCAATTGATCATTTCATTCTATCCATATGTCTATGTATGCTAGAATAGATGTTCATGTGTTTATCTCTAGTTTTTGTGTTACTATTGCATGTTTATGTGTGTTGATGTTATGGATCTAGAGATTGTCAAGGTATAGTACTTAATAGAATACTATTGTGATTTATTTGATGGTTCATACTCATGTCTTGATGGATTGTGCATCTCCCTTAGTTTATTTAGTTTGATTTTCATGCTCTTAGCTTAGTTATAGTGTAGTTGTCTTAGTTGTTAAATGGGAGGACAATCCATACTTATTTGTTTGATGTTCCATGCTTATAAATGCAAGTAGTATTATTCTCTAACCATATGATATGTTTGGATTGTGAGCTTAAAGGAATGATTAATGGCATAGTTTGATGTATTGTGCTATTCACTAGGTTACTTAGATAATATATGCTTAATTGGTCATCCATGCTTGTTGAAATAATCAATCGCACGCTCTCAAATTACAACACACGTTTCCCCTCATTAATTATACATTGAATGTCTAGAATGGTAATGTTTAGTGATGACCTCTAGACCCCAAGACCTCACTCTCTTGTTTTCTCTGAATTTCATTTAAATTGCTTATTTTACATTGAACTTGTTTAGTTCAGTTTGCAGTCTAATCAACCAAACACACCACCTTTTGATCACTCTACCTACTAACCCTATACATCATTTCCATTGCAAGCACGCCTATAATCCCTTAGAACGATCCCTATTCATCCTAATTATATTTTTAGTTAGAGGTAGTAGTGACTTTTATAAATTTAAAACCTGGCCACATTGCACACTCACACTCTCTTAGTGTATCTTTAGTCGTTGGTGCGGCGACACACCAAAGTATTAAAAATTTTAATTACTGAATTTTAAGTGGTAAATGTATTAATCTAAAAACCTATTTAATGATATCTTAATTTTAAGTGTTGAATTCATTAAGATTATTTGTTAATTCAAAAGCTGTAAATGAAAATTATTAATATTACATTTTTGCCCTTAATATCTTATAATTGTAACATTCTTTACATCCATAATATAAGAACATTTATAAAAACAACCAATTTCACTCAATGAAATATATTAATTTAACAATGAATATTAATGTCAAAAGTGATTATAATAATTATTAATTCAAACTTAAATAATGTGCATTTTTAAAAAATTAAATGTCTCAAAACTGTTAAATTAAGCTAAACATAAAAAAATATTAAGTTCGAAAACTAAATAAATCATTTGCAAATTGGTAAAGTTAACCGGTTAAAGGAAAGTTGAGAAATTAACCTACAGATGTTTGAGTGTACGAAGGAGGAGTAATAAAATTTAATACACTTTTCTAAAATGAGAAATTTTGACAAAATATCTAAAAGACTTGCAAGAATCTATTCTAAATTCTTCCAGATATTATTATAAAATATCTAGAGATGAAAAAATAATAAATAATTTTAGATTTCTCTAAAAATAAAGAATAAAAGATGAAAATAAGCTATAAATAGGTTGCCCAAACCTAAACTAGCAACCTAACAAGAAAGCATAAAATTACACATAAGCAATGTAACGGTGAAGTTGAAAGTAAGTTACTATTTTTGATGGTGTTCTCTTTTACCGTATATCACAATTGTGCTTGTCTTATTATTGTGATACAAATGCATCGAGTGTAATGATACACTTGAAATAATTATGGAAATTATTAGGTAT